AGACTATCGCTGTGGATGGATTTGGGGCAGCAGGAGCTGGCAACACTGGCGCCTTGTGGTTCTGAGGTGAACCGGCAGGGGTCACTGAGTCGACCGGAAGGGATCTGGGTGGCACAAACACAGTTTGTGCCTTCGGCATCCCTTCCAGGATATGGGGAGCCTATCTGACCTTCTTCAACACCGTTTATGATGTCAGTGGCCACCCCAGGTCCGGGAGATGTGAGGCTGAAGCTGGAACCTGCAGCTGGGCAATCATGAGCAAGGAACTGGAAGAGGGGCCAGAGCGATGGCCATAGCATCCAACTGCAGATCCTCTAGTGGGGCATCCTCTGGGTCACTGTCCACTGTAACTGAAAGCAGCCACAGGAGACAGAGGATAAATACTGTACTGAGGGGCCAGAGCTACAGAATGCAGAGAAAAAGAAACAAAGGAAGTAGCAGCAGCAGTAATAGTGTTAGCAGCAGTAGGAGTCGGCATTAGCAGTAGTAGCATTAGTATTATTAGCCTATAATCACCATAAAATTAGCCAATGGCACAACACTTAGTAGCAGCTGGCAAAATCCTATAACTCCATCTATCCCTTGAAATAAAATTAGTAAAACATAAACTGAAACTAAAATACTGTATATAAATGTTAAATAGATGCCTGTTTAAAATAAAAACTAACACCACACTGAAGCTAAAACTAAATTGTATTTCAAATTGAAAAACTAAATTAAAAAACCATAATTATAATAACACTGATGCAAGGAAATAGAGAAGTAGATGGTGTTACAGTTATAAATGTATTTTAAATGTATTATAAATGTATTGCAACCAGCTGGGGGTCGTTATAATGCCACAGCGAGGAATCATATTGGCTAAATGCTGGTATTTCCAGTTTTCCTCAGCCAACCTTTCTTCAAATCAACCAGCTGTATTTGTTTTTAGTCTTAGCATTGAGGGTAGAAAAAGGAGTTTATATAAACTCAGTGACAAAAAAAGTTACACACCCAGACGGAGTGAAATGAATCTGCATGTGGTGAAAGGTCCTGTGACTGTATCGCAATGATAATATCAGATCAAACGGGCAACAGAGTCGGTGTTCTGTTGAGTTGAGCTACTTTGTCGAGTTAGGCTACCGTAGTGGTAATCGATAGCCCTAACCCAAACTCTAACCCTAATCACCCAAAAACCCCTAAAAGCCTTACTCTAACCCTAACCCCTAAAACCTAACCCTAATCCCAAGACGGTGGAACTGCACATGCGCAGAAAGGCTCGATAGCACGTCTCGATAGGTAGCTCAACTTGTCAGAACATCGGCAGTATGGACACACTGCTAGTCCCATGTCAGTAGGGTGTGGCACCCCCCTCCCCCCCAGGCCTGGATACCTGCAGCGATATGGTGCGGAAGGGAGTCATACAGCCGCTGTATCCTCTCCTGCGGCAAGTCGGCCCACAGCTGTTGTGATTCTCTCTACCCTGCTTTGACCCCTCATGGTCCATTTCCTTTTGTTTTTGCTTGGTGTTTGTCTAAATAAAGCCCCTTTTGTTTTTCCTTACACCTGCCTTCGCTTCCTTCCCTAGATGTGACACTGAAAAAGGATTGGACTTAAATCTTGGTGTTAATTAAATACAGTGGTACCTCGGTTCTCGAACTTAATCTGTTCCGCACTCCAGATCGAATCCTAAAAAGTTTGAGTTCTGATCGAATTTTTCCCATAAGAAATAATGGAAAACCAATTAATTGGTTCCTGGCCCCCCAAAATTACACCTAAATATGTTTTTTTTTTTTTTTTAGCATTTAACCACAAACTGAACAGGATAAAACAAGAAGAGCATTTTTTCTTAATGGCTTCCA